ACACCCAATTTTCAACTAACTTGTAATTAAGCGTAATATACATCATTCAAATTGGAATTGAAGAAACCATCTTTATGATGTTTTCAGTGAATTTTATCTGCACACAAATCTAAGAAACAGCACTTTAAGCCTTTTGTTGCTCTTGATATGATTTTCAGTGACATCTTAAGGCCTAATCTAAAAAGGGTCATGATTTGTTGTCTTATGTATTCAACTCTTACAAGGGATATTTAAAGCTTGCTGACTATAAATGATGTTTAGGTATTAGATGGAGTGTATAATAGCTTGACATTGTTAAGAAGTGCTTGTCATTTGGCTTCCCAGGAAATGGAAAATGATGGAAAATTGATTCAGATGGAATACTGAAATTGTATCATAGTCATTTAGATAAAATCTCTTTGTTTACTTAAATGGAGTAAAAAAATAAGATTATTTTCTAGGTATTGTTGCAAATTTGAAAAAATAAGTCAATATTTATCAGTCTGATTTATTTTGTACTAAGCGAGGATTTGATTATTTAGATGTTGTCATCAATTGTCTGATAACATCATTATTATCAGCTGAAACACATTCCCAAATAAATACTTGATAACAATTAAGATTTGTTATGATAATTTCATGAACTGTCTTACTTGGGATATATGGATGCAGTGGAAATTTTAATCAGATTTTTGTGAATTAAAATTTAGCATTGTGAATCAGATGGAAACTTCTTGTTTTTTTATTACAATATTGCCTTATATTACCTCATGAGAGTGGAATTTTCCTGGTATGTAAAGAGATATGACCCTACTCAATTGTGATTTAGTGATGCTATTATCTCAAACATCAGTATGAAGTGGAAAATGTGATATATTTTTAGGTTGTTATTGTCAGATGGTAATAAATCATCATCATATAGATTGATTCATTATATTTTTCACAAAATTTCATTGTATTATAGTATGTTATATTGATTTTTAATATTTTTCATAAATATTGAAGATTACCAAATTTTTATGTCCAGAAATTTCAAAAATTGTTTTTTTTTTTTTATTTTGAAAATATTCTTTTGGCGAAGAATGTATGAAATTTGGTTATTTTCATCAAGGAAACACTTGTATACTTGTAAGTGTACCCAGGGTATAGTAAAAGCAAGTTTTTACATGATTTCTGGGTTTTTCAATATCCTACAGACCGAACAATCAGAACAGGTGCAAAGAATTGCTAAAAGTAGCTTACCAAATGTAAAAACATTTTAGATATTAAGTTATCTAAGGGTGTGATGGGATAAGTACTATTCTTAGTCATAAATAGTAAGTAGTAGTAGTTTCCTGAATAAATTTTTGATTGACTTCACTCAATGAAAAGATTTTGGGTCATACCTATGCAGCAATTATTGTTGCTTATAGTTGGGAAATAAAAAAAAATCATTTTCAATAACATGTTTCATGTTGTTTTTCTTATGCTTGAAGCCACCTACTTGTTTCTAACAAATACTTTCAAATGTGTTTTATGTACATTCCACTTGAAACTTAAGCTTGTTGGTTTCCTATTTAGATTTCATTACATAATTATGTCTTTTGTTTCTGTCACAAGAAATAAATAATGACATGAAATTAGATAACTAACTGTAGTATAAATAACAGAAAAACAATTTTATTTGAGCTTGATAAGCATATTGCATACATACAAACTGTCGATAAAAAAAAAAAAAATTTTGCAGCTTATCATAGTATTCAAAGGTGGCTGTTTTTACTAGATGTAGTTTGTCATGTGATTTTGATAGTTCAAATTCTCTACTAATCATAATGTATGATACAGATAATCATAAAATAGCATTTAATGCATAAGTGAGAGTCTGAATGGCCATTATGTGACATGACAAAGTGTAAAGGCCCGACCCCAGAAGATTTATTCAACAATATGAAAAAGATTGCAGAGAGATCCTATGAAACTATCAAGAAGTAGTAATGATTTAGATGGGGGAAGGGAGCACTCGATTAAGTATCCTGATAGTGGTAATAAAAAAAAGGTTGAAAACCTCAGCTCTAAACTAAGAGTGCCTTTGGTTATATATAGTGAAAATTCTCAACCAAAGATGAACCTATAATGTATATGAATTGAAAAATATTGCCTTTGTTCTTTGAAATTTGTTTGATTGTGTTTGACCTTTAACTGGTATAAAATCTAAAATTTACACAATTTTTGATGGATTTTGATGAACCCTAATGGAGCTTTCTATTTCACTTACAAGTGCAGAAAAGGATAGCAAGTTATAGCTCTACATATTCTGTCTACAAGGATAAGAATAACTGAATTGATTCTTTTGAGATGAGTCCTCCAACATTTATATCCAATTTAAATGGTAAATAGGGATTGATAATATCATGGCACAAATTGAATTAATTATAATGAATAATATTAATTTATTGATGGTAAATTGTATGTTATGTAAAAGATTTACTAGGTATCAGATCGTATCAAATGTGTTTTAATCCTCACTATGCATTACAACAGATTGATGTTAAAAACATACTGTGCCAGATGACATTTATCTGCCATAATTTGATCATAATGTCTCAGTTTAATGATAAATTCAATTAATGTAGCATATCAAGACTGTTTTGTCGTTGTTTATTACCATGTTTAAAAGACAGGAATAACCTGTTGATGTGACTAAATTTAAGTTCAGAATAATCATAAACGCTAGGTTGAAACACTGTCCAGCTTTAAGCGCTTGAATTCAAAGTCAGTTATGTGATAAAAAAATGTCTAAGACAAATTAAATTTTTCATCCCTGGAAATTTTAAGCATATTAAGGTATATTCCATGTCCATGTGTCCAAAAGAAAAATAAATATTTGATTTGAGTTATTGCCTTTGATCTTCATTTTTCAACCCATTAACACTCTAGAAAGAATACTTCTTGATTTCTTGTATTGCCCATTTTTAAGCTGATCAACAATATTTGTTAAAATTAAATGCAACTTAGTTAAATTGTTCATAATAACATATAAAGGAACATAATAAAAAAAAATAAAAAATCTAAGTATATAATAACCTGCGCTCTCATTCAAGGCCATGCCTTCATTCATATTATAAATCGAAAGTAGAGGTGCTCTAATGATTGGGAATAATGACAGTTTGTCTCAAAAGTCAACAATTAACTCTTAATTAGCTTATTACGAAGGGATTCCAATGATCAAGCAGTCCCTTAAAAAAGATTATCAGGTCTCTCAATTTCTAAAGGGAGGTAACTCTATTTGTGCCTTTTCACAGCCAAACATTACCAAAACAGCCAAATACCAACTGACAAATTTAAACTTTCAATGGTTATGTTTCCAAAATAGGGAAAAAGGACAATGTTTTTTTTATTTTCTAAATATACAGTGCATATCATTACATTATTTCCAAATTATAAATGTCTATTAAACAACGTTTGGCTAATAATTTTTTATACGAAATTGTGGCAATATTATTTTAGTTAGTGAGTAAACAAGGAATCTATTTTTAGCTTTTTCAATCGGGGTTTCAGTAAATTTGATCCCAAAGCTTTTCTACATCCTCACAGTCTTAGCAATCAATAATACTTGATTTATTCATTAGATTATATTTACATTTTATTTTCATGTGCTACAGTGATTCCGTGTGAAAAATTTGCATTCATTCCTTAGTGATCTCTGATGATGTAGTTGTAATGAGGTCATCTCTTATGATGTGGGATGCGGGGTATGATTACACAAAAACTTTCAATTACAAATAGACAAGGCAATGGAACAAATCCTGGTTTCCTAGTTTGTGTTGAAATCAAAGTTATTTGTTTCTCTTTTTTATTTGATTGTAAAAAGGGGAGTCAATTACCCTTGCACTATTTTATTTGTGTTGTTTGTGTATTTATACTTCATCGTCAGCCTAGCAACATAGAGGCAGGGCTTAAAGTTAATTGACAGGAGCTGTTTTACCCACTTTTCTGACAATAATGATAGGTTTAACTATATTACGGCAATAATTTTATCCTTAAAAGTACGATGATAGATTCTTGAACACTACCGAATGTAAATATAAGGATTGAATGTAGATGAAAAATCTTACACGTGAAAACTAATGATTAGAAACATCAATTAATCAAACAACAAGCATGATTCGACCAAGGAAAAAAGCAAAGGCAACTTTATTAATTAAAATGTTCTTAAAGGGAGAAGCATTCTTTCCTTCTAAAAACATTTTCATAATTTGTCTCATGTTTTAGGCGATCGTTTTGATATCACTGTTATCATCACTTGATTCACTATCAGTAAACTATCAAAATGCTATGATGGATGTAGTACTAATGCAACAGTTTGCTTAAAGCTTTCAAAATCCCTGTTGTTCTTCTTCGGGCACTATCAAACATATTGATACCTTCAACTGGCACAATACTGTCCATTTGTTTGATAAGCAGCTCTAATTGAAGGTCATCTTTGTCATCATCCATTTAATTGGGTAATCTCAATATGTGCAGAACACTTTTGAATTGTTGTACCCTTCCTTTCACGGTAAGCATGTCTAGTCCAATTGACAACATCCAGAGCTCAAGTTTTCTTTTCAAGATCTAATGTACAGGAACAGTGGTCAATAAATGACATAGGTAATGAAAATCATGATCTGAGCTATTTCTTCTAAAGATAATAGCCTGATAAGATTAATCATTTAAAGGTTACTAATGTCATTGAGAAATCAATCATTTATTGGAAACCGGATACCAGTCACCTAATAAGGCATTATAATTAAATCATGATTCCGTTTATATGGTATCCCACAATTTGATTGGATTACAGCGATCACATGTATTTGGTTTATATCTGTGTAAACAGAATGTAAATATAAGCTCGGCCCCGTTACAGATTACTTTTATCATTTGATTGACGTCGCCACAACACAGCGTCGATGTCGTCTGCTTTTCCGTTTTCAGTCGAGATGGCGAAATACGGCAATTTTTTCTTGGAAATTATGATGAAATCTTTGAAGACATCCCACTTTCTAGTGATCACGAAGATAACATACATATACAGATGTCACCCTGCAATTTTGGTTGCCTAAATACATGTAATCATCTACATCAGCAGATTTAGGCTCACAGCGCCAACAGGACAGTGTACAACTAAATATGATGAAAAGTTGAGGCATATATGATGAACGGGCACAGACCACTTTATCAATTCCGTCTCCAACAGCCCCTGAGGCGGCCCATATAGTTACAGACCATACTCTTTCTAAAGAATCATCACAAGTCCAGCCCAGATTCCAGATTGCCGAAGCCCTGAAAACAATCGAAGATGGTCGACAATCAGAATCAATGAAGAAAAATACAAAATGGTGTGTTAATTTATTCCAAGGTAGTTATACTTATTGATATACTGGCCTACATTAAATTTGTCAGTAAGGCTTAGGCTACAATCTCTATTATTGATTCAGCTAAAATTGAAATTTGTACAGAGGTAAGCCACCCAAAATGAATTTCATCATGAGTTTCGCATATTTTCTGAACTTTATTTTTCAGAATGGAGCATTGCAAATGCAAAAACTCTCTAAAAAATGTTCGATCTAAATTGAATAGACATTTATGCAAAATAAATCAATGACATTGTTCGAGACAAAGCCTTAAAGCCTGCAAACTCCATGTTGGATGCTAAATTGAAGCACATATGAAACATGGATTAGCACGCCCCACAAATCACAAAAATGTCATTGAACGCTACGATTTACATAATATATATAGCGTCATACCTGTCCAATTTTGAAACAAATCCTGCCATTTTAAGATACAAAGTGTGGTACAATCTTGCTATACATTTTGTCACTCACGGTTGGAATTCCACAAACAGTTAACCCTAAAGTCATTGTCGAATATATGTAACAATTAATCATCAAACTCAACAAAAAAAACTGAGTCAAAGATGCGTCACATGATAAAAGAATGTATTCATCCAATATTTACTCATGTCCAGTCAAGTCACTCAGATTATTAATAGAAAAAACCGACCCCACCGCAGAATCACTATTTTCATCACATAAGTAAAATTGACAAATCTAAAGATAATCAGTACACATATTCAAATGTTTTTTTGCAAAGTGTATCAATTTACGAAATTCATAATGTACAACAGAGATTGCTCCAGTAAACAAAAGCAACGAATTATCAATACACTGTCAGCTGTTGCACTTGCTGACCCCCATCATGTTGACACTACTGTCTCTGTGCCTCCTTCGAACGTCAATAGAGCCGAAATCGACACTTCACTGAATGATAACGACATTTGTCAAATTCACTCGAATGTGCACCCTCCAAAGTCCATCAATCTATTATTTTTAACTCGTCTTTCCATAATTGCACTTTCAACTGGCCACCCCATCAACTTTCAAGCAGTAGATAGACTCTAAATAGGTAACCTACTTATTGCTCATTGGCTGTTCCCTAGGATGTTTCTATTGTAACTACAGTTCATTAACGTTATGTTAAAATGTTATGTATTTATACGTAAATTTAGTGCCGTAAGATGTTGTTATATTAAAAAATATTAAAACACGTATTCATGTTGATTTAATTATAAGGAATGACCTGAACATTTTTTTTTTTGGATGTATAAACAGAAAAAACCTGCGTACACTTAAGCATTGAACGATGGACCCACTGCAGTTACGGTGATATGAATACATTGGGCAAGGTGCCAAATTGAATGAGCTGCCGAAGGCAGTCATGATAA